CTATAAACAATTTGAGCTTCTTGCACAGTTATCGGATCAACCTTAGATTCAAGCTAGTCGTTATGTTAACAACTGCCACATCATATTCAGAATCTAAACCATCCAATATGTAATTCAACAACTCTTCATCGGTGATAATAACACACTAGCAATCAAACTCTAGCATAACTTTTCATCTTTAGGAATAAGCATGCATACTTAAACCATCCTTTTTCGTGTTTTGCAATAGACTCTTAACATGCAGTGTTTTAGCTTTCGATTCGGTAAGAAATTCTTTTTCCAAGGTAGCCATATCTTGGTTGCAAACTGACACTTAGAGATCGCAGAAAACATAGACTCTGATATTGAAGATAATACAAACTCACCAACATTTATCAGTTCTTTTCCAAAGTAGATACTCTGAATTAGGTTTTTTGTGAACCTCTGAACTTGAGCTATCCACTTGACACGAACAAAGGGTGCTGGACATGATACGAGTCCAATGAGTGTTCTTCGAGTCCATGAGCTCCAATGGCAAACAGAATCCGTGATTTCCAGAAACGGTGGTTATCTCTTGTCAATTTTGGTGAGATTACCGGAAGTGTTGAAGAGGAGAAAGAAGAAGAATTGGAGAAATTGACTGAATCAAAAGAGTGTTTGAGACTTGAATCATTATTTGCTTTGTCAAAGGAAGAAGAAATTGGTGATGGATCGACCATTTTCGACGTTGGTCAGTGGCTCTGATACCAAGTTGATTTAGAGAGGAAATGTAAACCTAGTGAGCTGAAAAGAAACAGAGGAAGTGAAGAAGAAGACTGAAATTTTCGTTAAGTGAATAACTGTCACTGTTACAAGCCTTTTATAATACAAGGTAAGGGTAAATCAGTAAATCCCAAACTACGTTAATATCCTAATAGTGACAAATGAAAATATAAAACCCTGCATTACATATGGATATCAAGATGGAAACAAAAATTATCATGCAATTATGTCCATCATTACTCCTAGAAATAGAAAAGTACTCATGCCAAAATATCAACCAGAATGAAAAACTTCTTCCAGATTATCATCCATATGAAAATCGCCTATTGTTCAATGAAGTTGAAAAAATACCTCTCTTCTAATCACTAACTAGCAAGCTTTTGTAAGTTTCTATAAGTTAACAAAAGACAGAGAAATCAACAAAAAAGTATACATATATATCTTTAGCTTGGCATGAACTAATTGGAAAGTGGTAAAGATAAAGCAACACAGAAACCTTTCACCCAGAACATCTCTTGCTTCTAGTAACAAAGGTTGGTGACCCGCATCTGTCAGATATTTTGCATTTGATAAACCAGCCAAACCTGCGATAGTTTTGGAAATTAGAAGTTTCAATATAACATAAAAAAGAAGAACCTTTTAAAAAAGAAATGGAAAAGATGGAAAGTTTATTTTAGTTTAAGTAGGGTAAAAGCTTTTGGCTAAAGTGTCACAAGAATAACAAAGGTCTATGTCAGAAGATTGTCTTGGATGCTCAAATTGCATTGTCCACAAGCAAATTTAAGAACCTTCGCTTACAGATTCAAAGATTCAGTGCTTCCCATAGTACATATTGGGAAAAAAAATTACAATGGTAACCACAAGCGTTTTTATTTATCTGTTGAGGAGATGGGCCTCACAGAGAAGAGACCAAAGTGAATATTCTGTCCTGAAGCAATCTTGTTCAGAAGACAGATTGACTAAGATGAGTTGGTTCCAGTAGGGAACTTTAGTTTTGCTAATTCTAGGAAATACAATGGGAATGCAAAGCCGGTGCTCTTTCATTAATTTAGACCTGCCTTTTGTTCTACTTTGAATATAATGTCAGTGCTGCATTCAATTATTCAAACCCATGAGAATAGGTGGAAGAACATTATCTTTAAGGTGGCCAGCTCACTCTAATTTGAGTGTTCTCTCAAGTTAACCAACGTACTTCATGTCATTACCTATTCTGACATTTGTGAGTCAACACAGTCACCAAGGAACTTTTCACAAATAGGGAACTTTATTTGCTAATTCTAGGAAATACATGGGTATGCAGAGCTGGTGCCTTTCATTAATTTAGACCTCCTTTTGGTTCTACTTTGAATATAATGTCAGTGCTGCTTCAATTATTCAAACCCATGAGAATAGGTGGAAGAAACATTATCTTTAAGGTGGCCAGCTCACTCTAATTTGAGTGTTCTCTCAAGTTAACCAACGTACTTTATGTCATTATTCTAATTTCTGACATTTGTGGAGTCAACCAAGTCACCAAGGAACTTTTCACCAATAGGGAACTTTAGTTTTGCTAATTCTAGGAAATACAATGGGTATGCAGAGCCGTGCTCTTTCATTAATTTAGACCTGCCTTTTGGTTCTACTTTGAATATAATGTCAGTGCTGCATTCAATTATCCAAACCCATGAGAACAATTGACTAGGTGGAAGAAACATATCTTTAAGGTGGCCAGCTCACTCTAATTTGAGTGTTCTCTCAAGTTAACCAACGTACTTATGTCATTATTCTAATTTCTGACATTTGTGGAGTCAACACAAGTCACCAAGGAACTTTTCACAGAATGGTTTAATTCATAAGTCAAAACTTCAACGTGATAATGCGCTAAGTTCATATCCTATTTGAAATCGGGTGTTTTGTCATTATTCTAAGTTATTAAAACTATCTTAACAGGGTTGGCCATTTCATCAACAGTATTTTTGTCTTTAACTTCTTCCCGTAGAGGAAACACTATAATAGAAACAGATTTTCCCTTCAAGCTGATATTTCTGGGTGCATCTTTTGAAAGAGATTGACCAAAGGAAAACGAGACAGATTCACAAAAATTAAGGAACCTAACTCCCTTGACATGCTTACACTAAATTATGAGTACATTTTCATAAAAAAAAAAAATAGTCAGCACAACCATAAACACACTCCCTCATTTCTATTCAGCATCATCTACGGTTTGGGAAAACCCCATAACTTATGCCATTCAGACAAATGTTCCGTTAGCCAGAAACGAGAAAAACAATGCCAAGCCATATAGAGTTTACAAGTAGTGAAATGGAGTTTAAGATTTGTAGTTAACTCTGAAGACCAACTAAATTCTACTAACAGTTAGCTGGGGAAAATAAATCCATTAGAATCTTAAAAAGTACAAAATCTCTGAAATGAAATTATTTGTTTTGATACTTACTAGCTCTGATTTTCGATATATATTTGCTTTAATTTCATTGACTTAGAAAATACGTTTTTATTCATAATTTTGTTAAATTTCCAAAAGCAAAGCAAGGATTCTAAAACTGAACAAAACAAAACTGAGTGAGATAAAAAGAGAAAACACGCCACCTGCACTAGCAATTACAACTTTCAAAGGCTTGGTTGGACGAGGAGAAGCATGAAAGGAAGAAGATAAGTAAGCAGCTTCCAAGAATTAGCCTATTATCAGTATCCGGTTTCGGATAGTCCCACAAGCTACCTGTAAAAATTAGGCCAAGTTTAGAACTTCATAATTCAATTTAACAAATCAAAATAACCATTAAAATTCACAAACTTGCAAAGGATTTTCCCTTCCTAGGAGTTGTTTTAACATGATTTTGGTGGCCTTACCCATCATTCACTCCCATGAAACGCCATTAAAGCACTCCACACAAGGTGAGGCTCATTTCTTTGTTAGTGAAAGATCTGAATGCTTGGTGGAAGCTGATAGAAGTTAAGTTTTTATTTGATAAGCATAATATAATATAAGGCGTGGTGATAAATGAGATTGTCGTGGCGTTGGCGGTTTCTTAATTTTGAAATGGGAACATTCAACTTAATTCACCACGGTTTTGGTTATGGACCAAACATGCCCAATTTTAGCTTTTTAGCAACTTAACTTTAGACCGCATCTAGATAGTTTAAGCAAGGTTCTGAAACCTGACTTAGAGTGTCACCTGGCCAAGGGGCTGGGTCTCGTGTGTCTAGGTCCGACCGGTTAAACTGGTAGTCTAACCAGTGATCCAACAAGTTTGAATCCTTGTAAACACACCCCTAAAAAATACACAACAGTTTCTATAGTTTTGAAATCTAGCAAATAATCCTACGATCTGACCCTAAATTGATTTTTCCAACCAAATTCAACTGATTCTGATAGCCAACATTTAATTCGAGGCCACCACCTAAACCACCGTCCTCCACTCTACAAACTCCTCTACTCTGAACTTCGTTGCCCCCCTTCCCCGGCGTGACCTCTAAAACCGTCGGGATTGTTTGATTTTACCCTTCCAGTCGTCCCCATTATGGCTTTTGTCGTGGCTGCCTCATCTACAAAAACAGGTTGGTTTACCCAAATTTGAAGTTCATTCCTAAACTATTAGAAGATTTCACTGCAGCTCCCCGGGGGGGGGGGGGGGGTGGGGGGGGGGGGCCGGCGGCAATGGGATTCTGGTTTTTTTAGAACTTATAAGAAACTGATGAATATAGTGGTTTGGGATGGTATTAAGAAGGATGTGGGAGTATGTCCAGCAATGCTCCATTTGCCAATTAAATAAATATTCTACTCTCAAACCAACAGGTCTACTTCAGCCCTTACCCATTCCATCCCAAGTTTTTGAAGATATCAGCATGGACTTCATTGGAGGGTTACCAAAGGCAAAAGGACAGGATACTATAATGGTTGTGGTGGATAGGCTCACTAAATACGGACATTTTATTCCCTTGTGCCATCCCTACAGCGCTAAGGATGTTGCTGCTATTTTTATCGCTGCTATTGTGAAGCTCCATGGATTTCCCAAATCTATCGTTTCGGACCGCGATAGGATCTTTATCAGTCAATTTTGGCAAGAACTGTTCAAGGCTGCTGGCACTTCGTTGAAATTCAGTTCTGCATACCATCCTCAAACCGATGGCTAGACGGAGGTTGTCAACCGCTGTTTGGAAACTTACTTGCGATGTTTCTGTAGTTCACAACCCAAACAATGGCATAAGTGGCTGTCCTGGCAGAATATTGGTACAATACCACACATCACAGCTCCATTAAAATGACTCCCTTCAAAGCCCTATATGGAAGGGATCCACCCACTCTCCTCAAATTTATAGATTACCCTTCCTCTATGGAAGAAGTCAACCAACAAATGGCTGCACGAAATTCAATATTGGATGAGTTGAAGCATAACTTGGCTGTTGCTCAAGAACAGATGAAGGAAGCAGCTGACCTAGGTCGTCGGGATGTTAGTTTTCAACCGGGAGACCAGGAGTATTTGAAGCTCCAACCGTATCATTTCAAGTCCTTGGCCAAAAAACTGAAAGAAAAGCTAAGACCTAGGTTTTATGGTCGCTTTCCCATAATAGAGAAGATTGGGCAGGTTGCTTACAGGTTGGAGCTGCCGTCTACGGCAAAAATTCATCCAGTCTTTCACATCTCTCAGCTTAAATGAAGTCTGCACACCTCAGTACCCATCCAGCCGCTGCCATCCTTCCTCACTAAGGATATGGAACTTCTTGTTCAACCAGAATCGATGTTGGCAGTCCGCACTTTATTAGATGGCTCTCGGGAAGTCCTTATCAAATGGAAGGACTTGGCTCCCTTTGAAGCATCTTGGGAGGCTTTTGATGTTATAAAGCTGCAATTTCCTCATTTCCACCTTGAGGACAAGGTGGCTCTTCATTTGGGGGGGGGGTGTGGGGGGGGGTATTGATAAACCTCCCATTAAGAATGTTTATCAATACAAAGGGCATAAGAGACATTTGGGTCAGTAAGTGTAAGGAGTAAGAGGTGCCTGGTTGTTGGGGAAATTCGTTACAGTCACGTGGGAGTGGGGAATCAAAGTTGTTAGTAGAGAGAATATGTAGTCAAGAAGATAGTATAAATAAAGGGGTCAGTTTTGGGGTAGGATTGGAATATTAGTCTATTGTCATTGTGGGAGGTCCCCAGCTCCTCGAATTGCTGGGATCTATCTGTTTGGTTTTCCAATTGTTTGGTTGTTTCTTTTTCCATTCTCTAGAAATATAATCTGGTTGAGACTCGATTGAGAGAACTCTTTTCTGTTATTTTGGACTGTTTGTGTTGTTTGCTGGTCATTGTTGCAGGGAGTCTTAACATGCACTAATGTGAATGGGAAGCGGGAGTTGGGACATATTGTATTAGCAAAATTAGAACTCCCATACTATATTAGCAGCCATTAAAGAACCAATGCGTAGGAGATGAATGAATTATCTGTCAAAAATACAATCCTAAAATAGGAAATATTCTAACCTTATTTATGCCCAATTGGTCTTCAAATTGAAATCCATCCAAGTTCAATTCAACTTCCAAACCTTTGTTGACGTGATTACTATATGCATCAAACATCTGGAAGAAATGAATGGTTACATAGGTTAGCAAGTATGCCTTAAAACCACTCGCAAAAGCTACACAAGTTTCCAATTATCTAACTTAAAAGATAATACATTTGCTTGATTGTTGCAGGTTGAGCCAAAACAATATTTCTTTAAATGTTATTATGAAGTACCTCATTATTCCATAAAGTGTTCTAAATCTATAATTATGCTAAAAGGAAATTAATAATATCATGTTCAGCACTGAAATCAAAGATTAACAAATGTATTATGCTAAAAGGAAATTAATAACATCAAGTTTCGGCACTAAAATCAAAGATTAACAGTATACACTAAGTACCACACGTTAAATGAAAATACATTGTGAAATACCATATGCAATATTAAGGAATCTACCCCATTGATGCAGTTGATATGCTTAGGTTGTCAAATAACATATAATTATCTGTATAATCAATTGTGTTCCCAGTTCAACATATACGATGTCAGTATATAAGAATTAACTTTAAACTGAGTTCAGCTAGGCCCCTCCCTTTATAAGATTAATCTTTGAGACTAATGATTTGTCAACCACTCTAGTTTGCTTCATTAATCTACAATATACTTAATTACAATCATAAGACATTACAAATTTTCCAAAATAAGTCTAGCCATGAAAATTATAACATCCCCAAAATACCTCAAATTTAAGGTGCTTAACCATAGAGCCTAGAAGCAAATTGTTTCCAAAATTTGGTGATTGGATAGTGACATGCTTTAAAGATCCAAGAATAACTGATACATATATATAAATCATATATAAACATATGAGTACAATGGCAAGATGATGTTAGAAAAAAGATTGAAACAGGTTCTAGATGCAAATCTGTTAAAGATCACTGGAATACCTTGACATGGAATTGAAACTAAAGCCAATTCATCTCGTGGAGATATCACCAAGGTAGCCTCATAATGTGGCTGGATCTTGTCCAACTCATAGCTTTCAATCAGAATATCCTATAGAATTAGGATAACTTAAACAAGGAGCTAATGCACACCAAAAACATACTATCACCCTCGTAACAGATGCAAATGGAATCCGATTATCATAGATGTCATAGCACACAATGGATAAATGTGGAAAGCACGAACCAACTATGTGGAAAGTGGTTATTTTATGACAAAAGGGGGAATATAAAAGGTTATTAAGTCTAATTAGAAATGCTAGTTAAGGGAAAAATAATAGGACAAAGAAACTCCCTAAACAGCATTAAAATATGCATGATAATTGATGTGAAAGTTAAATAGATTTATTAAGTAACTACTTAAACCAAAAGTTTACGCTTATAGGTTTAGGCCCAACGACAATATTTAAGCTGTAAAGTCTCGCCATGCGTAATGCCAGTTAAAAGATGATGCTTTATTGGTCATTAATCCTATTTAGAGAGTGTATTGAGATTGAGTGGATGATAAAGAGTATCATACTTAATTCTAGGAATGAGCCAATAAAATTGCTTTTCATCTTTCTACAATACACCTTGGATGGGAAATTGTGCAATTCATTCCTGTGCAATACAAGAAACATCTTGTGATAAATTATTTGGGATACTTATCACCCCTTATTTTGTACTCTAGGCTTAAGGCTAGCAAAGAATAATGTTATCCGAAGTTTCTTCAAAATTTTGTATGAATGAGTTATCTCAGCTAGAAGATGGAAATGATTTTACTGTGAGTTTCATGAACAAAAAAAATTGATAAGCTGATTCGTTAAAAGTTTTCTTACCTAACACAGAACTGTGGGCTCTGTTTACAACTCAAAAGTCTCCAATTTCCAACCTTAGAAGATCCCTTAACTACCACATGTCTCTCACAACTCTTACAGCTTGACTGAGGCTAAAGCACAAAATTCCATCATATCAGGTTATATAATCATAAAACACAAGAAACGATATCATATTATACAGCAACGAACAAAAAGAGATAAGAATCTTTTGTATCACTTACAAGGTGAAATGAAAACCTATACATCTCAGCATTCTGAAAGAAGTTTGGTCACTTACACTCGAATTCAAATACATAGAAACCTTGATACCCTTTCGTAGAAGTAAGTGGTACATGAGCTGTGAAGATGTTGATACTCTTTTGAAGATTCTTCCTTTCACCTATGAATCCGACTTCCATGATCATCTATAAATTATTCTTAACAATGTGCTTCTGGTCCAACTTCTTTGAAGGACTAGAAGAAACAGCATTGGCAGGCCGAACAACAGCCACAATTTCTCTAGGAGGTACTTCTCCATCTTTAGCACTGAAACAAAAACTCATTAGTTGTGATTAAATATCTTGATGGAAGAGAAAAGAAAGGGATTGAATTTTTGTTTCTCAAGCTAAGTGCCAAAAGAAATGGAGAATATTTTTACATATATTCAAGATGTGACATTCTATATTTATGAATTTCCAAATAACTTAATCATTGTTCTCATCCTTGATAAACCAAAATAAGATAAGTTTGATGAATACAGAACCCCATCAACATCTAATTTTTGACATTCTGTTGCACTCAACAAGTCAATCAAAGCAGGAGTTTTTTGACGTTGCTACTCTAGTTGTAGTTCCCAATCAATATTGTCAATACATACACGGTAATGCCAATGCCAATGACAAAAAAATAAATAAATAAATACTTACTCTCAAGTAAAATTTTGCAAATATCAAAGAAATAAAAATGTACGTAGCAATAAAGAGAAAATTGAAACTAAATGGAAAACCTTTCCAAAATCAATTATGCCAATAGGTAACAATAAGTTGCCAAAAATATCCAAGCTATCAGTCCCATTGTTCTCCACGAGGACACATCCTTCCTTATCCATGAGACCTATTGGCCTTTCAGACCACAAAAGATATTAGACATCACATGTTTGTGAAACAACAAGTACAAGGATTATATTTATACACTAAAAATAGAACTTTTAGAGCCACAAATGCACAAGATAGCATACCTGCATATAATTCGAGCATCACCTATTAGAAATGTAAAAAAGGGAGGGTGAAATTTATCAAATTTGCAAGAAGATTAAATTATGTAAACATGTCAACAATACATTTGTCCTATTACGAAATGATAAAAAGCAAACTAATAGTCATGGTCTATAAGTCTAAGAGTCTTAAAACCAGTGCCTACCAGCAGCATCCCCACGAAGACCTTCAATTAAAAAATAATCTATTGTTGCATAGATATTGTTTTTATGAACTCCAGCACATGCTCCCTTGAAAACCTTAACTCTTTGACCTCTTTTCCCTGTTAAACCCTTCCTCTTTAGTACTTGGTGCACCCTTGCAACTATAGTTGAATAATATATAAGATATCTCATCAGATAAAAACAGCAGGTAAACAAACAAATCAGCAACAAAAGAATAAAAAAGAGACCCAAGGAATTGAACAAAGTATGTGAAAAGCAAACTATGCAAAATGGAAAATAATGTTATGTAAGTTAAACTCCTTATCAATCAAAGCCTACCATCAAATGAAATGCCCAGTGACTTTTTGTTTTTGGGGCTAATGATAAAAATTGGTTGATCTGCTCCAAAGTTATTTTGTTCATCATAATGATCATACATCTGCAGAAGCTAGTCTTGATATTCCTTTTCCAGTTGCAAAGGAGTTAATAGTTTTCCAGCTCTATAAATTTCAACATTGATATCTGCAAATTTGGAAATTATACCATTGAGAAGATAGTGTAACGATTCAAATAAACTGACTAAAACTAGCCCCATATTTACAATTTGAAAATAAGAATTACCTTTGTCTTCCTTACAAGTAATAACACCAAAATTCTTCAAAGCTATGGTAAATGGATTCTGGTGTGCTAGATCCGTCTGTTAAATCATCGACATTTGAAAAAAAAAAAAAAATCAACACAAAATGATTATACAATTACTTCACCGCGTCCACAAACTGAATTTAGAATTATTTTAGTTTAGTTGCAATGTCTGTAACCATCTTTGAAAATCTTGGTGAGAGAAAATTGAACATTGTAGGCATATGCTAAGAGTAGAAACAATAAGTACTAAGAAATGTTTTTTCCAAATTAATATTTAGAAAGAAAATTATACATTAGCTTTTAAAGACACGCTAATCTGCCCAATATATAAAATAACTTTGGTAAAAACGCCTTAGCAACTCACAGTCAAACAAAATTGTAGAAAAGACAGGTTGCAGCATGAGATGGTACAAACACATGAGCTTCATTTGGTTCAGTTTTGGGAATACTATTGTTGGTATTCCCAAAAAAGTTAAACAGTAAAATGTCATTATTCTCAAAATATTATTATATATTTTTCAATTTCTTTTAAACCTCCTAAATTTGTTAATTTAACTAAACACCCCCAAATTTTTTTTTTTAGAAATTACAAAAATACTTCGGCCACCCTGCAGCGGTGGTGGCTGGCTGTCCGTATTTAATGGATGGGTTGAGGGTGTTTTTGTTAACTTTTAATATTTTATTATAGGGGTGTTTAGTAAATAAACAAACATAAGGGATATTTTTGTTAATTTTCAAATCCTACATCGTAATACCCACCCAATTTAACTTTTTTCAAAAGATTATTCTAAAAACTATCAGAATAATGAACCAAACGGAGCCATGGAAATTTCACTACATTCCTTACCTTAGAAGGCGCTGGATTAAAACCAGTATCAGTATCTACAACGAAACAGATTTTGCAAAACATGTATTAGATGAGAGGAAAACAAATCACATCCCAGTGAGTGGAAAGTACATGGATAGTTGTGACTTAAAAAATATACAATTACCCTACCAATGAAGCATTCTGCTCTTGAGCAACATCTCTTAGTAGGTAAGCCTTATCTCCCTTTTTTGCCTTAAATCCATAAAAGGAAGTCATGCCTGGTGTAAATCAGAAACGTGAAAAACTACCTTGGGAATTTATATTAAGTGGCAGATGATACATAAACATTGACTACATTGTAGATGTATGTCCACATATGGTAGAAATTGAGGTGAGTCATTTGTGATTAAAACAATTGTATTTTCACTACTTAGCTCAATCAACTTCTTTTGAATTCATAGGATTTAGAACTTACCCAGCGAGCATCTGGAAGAAGACGACCAAGACAACAGATAGCAACACGACTGAAAGTTTCATAGTTTTCAGGAACTCTGCATCCTTTAGAATTTAACTTCTCTATAATAATTTCAATGCTCTCTCCCCCCTGTATTAAACAATTTCAGAATTTATCTAGCATGCAGAAAAAAAGTTGTGCTCTGTATGGCACATACCTCCGTAACTGGAAAATAAACACATTTTAAGTGTGCACCCCCCTGTATTAAACAATTTCAGAATTTATCTAGCATGCAGAAAAAAAGTTGTGCTCTGTATGGCACATACCTCCGTAACTGGAAAATAAACACATTTTAAGTGTGCACTTGCTTCTTGAGATGTCCATGAACCTGACAAATACGAATTCTTAAGATATTAAAATCTACCAAAGATTGCATTTTGTTGACAATTGATATGCCATTGAAAATCATGACAAAAGAACTGCAATTGCTACTAGGACCTTTGGCTGTAGAACAACCAAGTTTAAGGGAAAAGTTAAGTTGTAAGACAAACTCAGGACCATTGCATGAATTATTGCAACTTCCCCACCTGCAATTTCAGCTAAGTCAACACCATTAACCTGCAAAGACGAAATTCCTTCTTTGTTATTTTCTTTTTTTATTTTAAGAACCATAAAAAAGAATTCTATTAATAACATAAATAGAGACAAAGCTGCATTCCAATCTCTATGACTTCTGTAATTCCTTCTCATGACTTGTAAAATTTGCTTAAAAAATCCCAAGTACTTTGGTGTATGTATACCAATCACTTGAAGTATTGGGAAGAAATTCAGCAGGTTAAATAACAGTAACAAGTTAAACCTGAGGCTCAATTGGTGTGGTGGTCTTCCCTGTCTTAGATACACTTCATCGCACTGCACATCAACAGGGATAAAATATGAGACATAATAATTATTAATATCTAAAAAGATTTGCATATTGATAATGTCTACAATCAAATTAAATTTGTATGGTCAACCGAATTGTCTTGATAATGAATTAAAAAAAATAGCTTTTTTACACAAAAAAGAAAAAAGAAAAGAGCTGGATAGGTAAAAAATGAGAAATAACAATTGGAAAAAACAGAAAAAATAGAAACACTCTTATCATTAAAATCAGACACTGAGGGGAGACAAGAATTTTACAAGTGAATATTTTCCCCAAAATAACTACCAACTATGATCCAGAAGCAGTAGATAAAAACAAAACAAAATGAATTTCATGGATGACAATTCTCGACATGAACCTCATCAATTAGCTAAACTTCCAGATCTGAGGTGAGAACCTAAGGTAAAGCCTTACACCATCAGCAATAATCTTTAAAATGCTTCAGTCCAGTAAGCAAATATACATCAACTTGAATCCCCTTAAAGAAGTAAAACCAGCATACTTTTAGTGAAAAAACAATTTCAGTAAAACATCTAATGCTTTGTCAATCTTAATTACAATTTATTTATTGATTATTCGAAAAAGCTTAGACTTCCATATAAATCCTTCACTATTATATATCCTCCTTAAAGAAGTAAAACCGACATACTTTTAGTAAAAAACTAAGACATTTAATGCTTTGTCAATCTTTATTACAATTTATTTATTGATTATTCGGAAAAGCTTAGACTGCCATATAAATCCTTCACTATTATATATAAACTAAAAGAAAAATAAAAAACTCTCAAGTCACCTTAACTCTTTTGTCTGGTCAGTTCTTTGTCTCCTTTTTGAGTCATTTGGGAACTAGGATACAAGGAGAGGATTCAAACTCCTAGAAGAACATCAATGATTTCCTATGTATAAGAATCACCAATTTGTATATTTGATACGTATTCTTATATTTACAGGGAGTTAAGCCTTGTTGATCACTTGATAAGTTTTCTTCCAACAAGGCGTTAGCTGGTCCCCACATGGTATAAGTCTTTCCACTCCCTGTCTGGTGTAATCAATTTTTCAGATACATGAAGAAAGCTAATGGCATAATTACATGTAAAATAAAATATGAGTGGAGAGGAATCAAAAGCAAGATAAAAGGTACCTGCCTATAGGCAAACACTGAACTGTTAAATCCAGCTAAACAATTTTCAATGAGAGCGAGACCAACAAGCTGGAAAACATCCAGCTGCAAAACAAACCTATATTTGAGCACCTTATGGTAATAATGCAAATAGTCAAGTAGAAAAGAGATAATACCTGTGTCAAATCAATGTCAGCAACTGAATCAAATGTGAATGTCTGTCCATTGATTTTCAAAGCATCATTGCCAACTTTCTGTACTATCATCTCCCCTTGTTCCTCTTCCTTATTTACAGGTCGCAATTGGACTATCATTTAATCCACACCATCCAAACTAGAGACATTAGAATCTACTATGTATACAGTTGGGCAGTAAAGCTACTTAATAACATTCAAGAATATCAGCAATATATAACCTAGTATTTATTTTTAACAATGTACGCAATTTTCCAATTTCTTTCTCTCTTCTAATACAGAACAAAACAAAGAAACTCAACAATTTCTCCCCTTTCCTCTCAGTAACAAAACAGAAGCTTTAAAATTTACATTTTCTCAAGCTTAAGTCACTTTTTCCCTAAATTCTGTCAAAATTTAAAAAAGATAATATCAAATATCAACTGAAAAGAAGAAGATCGAAAAAATTACTTAAACACCTGAGTTGTGGACCCCAACCATTACATTCTCGGGAAATGTATCAGTGGCGAGCTTGCGCTTGAGGGGATTGGGCGGGCATGGGGGCAGCGGACTCTTAATCTTGGAAGATGCCAGAGAAGGTGGAAGAAGTGAGTTCAGATCTGACAGCGGAGCGTTTTCTTTGGATGACTTTTGCTTCTGCGATGACTTTAATTTTGAATTAGGATTTGGAGACGACGAAGATGGCGACTCACTTGAGTGGGTCTCTATCAAGATTGTGTTTCTTGGCTGCATGAAGTGCTTCATTCCGATCAGTAAACTACAGAGAGAGAAGAGAGAGTAGGGTTTGTTAATTTGGGCAAGATTGCTGAGATTGAGGGCATTGGAGACAAGAAGAGGAGAGGAGAGAAAAATGTAGCCGTTAAAGAGGGGTAAACTTCTGAATTTTGTAGAATTATTCACATTGTGGGGAAAAAGAATAAGAATGTGAGGATCGAAAAAAGGGAAAAGTTGTTTTGAAAGTGTGATAATGCAAAAAAGAAGAATTGATTTACAAGAAAGGGAACGAACATGGTCGCCTCAAAATACGAGGGGATGTTCGTCAGATCTTTGCTGTGTTACGCGTGTACAAGATAGGGAAAAGTTGTTTTTATGTCCCTTATGCACATTAATTATTTGTAAGAGATGGTAAAGGGTGCGTTTGGTTTATTATTTTGGATAAAATTTTAGGAATAATATTGGGTAGTTGGATAGGGGAGTATTACGAGGTAAAATTTAAAAATTTATGAAAAAGCTCTTAGGTTTGCTAATTTAATTAAATACCCTAATATATAAAATGACAAAAACAACCCCACCACCTGTAGTGCCAGATTTCGGACACCACCGTCGGAATCTGGTCGAAAAATCGCGTCGTTATAGCCTTTTCTGACCAGATCCACCACGGATCTGGCCGAAAAATGTCAGATCTACGCCCTGTTGTGGCTGCGACGATCGGAAAAGGCCAAAACGACAACCATCTTTTGCCGTCAGCGAAGGGTCTTGGCCATCGTTGACCAAAAACGATGGCCATTTCTTTGGCCGTCGTTCACAACTAGATCTGGCCTTTTCCGGCCAAATCCGTGGTGGATCTGGCCAGAAAAGGCCAAATCGGTGAACTTCCGACCATTTTTGGTCGGCAGGTAGGCCGTTATACAGATTCCGACTACCACCGACGGTGGTTGCCAGAATCTGGCAAGTATGGGTCACAGGGGTGTTTTTGATAATTTTTAAACTTTTTTTCAGGGTGTATTTGATGAAATTAATAACCTTATGGGGTCTAAAGTAATTAAAAAATAAGGAAATATTTCTGGAATAATGTGCCAAACATTATTTGGAGAATAGGATTGGGAATATGGATTTTACAATCATATCTCTTCAAAAAATTATATTAATAATACAAAAAATTTGATGGATATAAAAACATTAAAAAATACCTCAAATACACCCCAAAAAAAGTTTAAAAATTATCAAAAACACCCTCGTGACCCATACTTGCCAGATTCTGGCAACCACTGTCGGTGGTAGCCAGAATCTGTATAACGGCCTACCTATCGACCAGAAATGGTCGAAAGTTCACCGATCTGGCCATGACCGATGGCCAAAGAAATGGCCATCGTTTTCGGTCAACGATGGCCAAGACCCATCGCTGACGGCCAAAGATGGTTGTCGTTTTGGCCTTTTCCGACCGTCGCGGCCACAACAGGCTGTAGATCTGATATTTTTCGACCAGATTCATAATGGATCTGGTCAGAAAAGGCTATAGCGATGTGTTACGACACAGATCCGACCGGTCTATGTCGTAACATGATTTTCCAGCCAGATTCCAGCGGTGGTGGCCAGAATCTGGCACTGTAGGTGGTGGGGGTGTTTTTATCATTTTATATATTAGAGTATTTAATTAAATTAGCAAACCTAGGGGCTTTTTCATAAATTTTTAAATTTTACCTCGTAATACTCTCCTATCTAACTACCCAATATTATTCCCAAAATCCTATCCAAAATAATAAACCAAACGCACCCTAAAATGTTTAGGCTCCGTTTGGCTCACTTTTTTACACTTTTTAGAAACGTTTTTTGAAAAAAGTTAAAAAAAGTTGAATTGGGCGGGTATTATGATGTAGGATTTGGAAATTAATAAAATACCCCCTATGTTTGTTTATTTACTAAACACCCCTATAATAAACATTAAAAGTTAACAAAAACACCCCTAGCCCACCCATTAAATACAGACAACAGGTCACCACCACCAGAGGGTGGCCGGAGTCGCCGTATCGGCGCATGACCGGCTAAATCTTGCTGGTTGTGCACCGATATGGCCTTTTCTGGCCAGATCCATGGTGGATCTAGCCGGCAAAGGCTAGATCTGCAGCTAGATCTAGTCGAAAAAGGTTAGATCGGTGCACAACCGACCAGATTCAGTCAGTAATGCACCATTATACCAGATTTCGGCCATCTTCCGGCAGTGGTGGCCAAAATTTGGTACATGTGGGTTGCTAGGGTGTTTTTGTAATTTCTAAAAAAATATTTAGGGGTATTTAATTAAATTAACAAATTTAGGGGGTTTAAAAAAGTTGAATAATATTGTGAGTTTTTGCAATTTTACTGTTTAATTTTATTGGGAATACTAATAATAGTATTCCCAAGAGTGAGCCAAACGAAGCCTTATATTCTCAAAAAAAATTAATTATATAAATAAAAACAATCTAATAGCATTATTGGCTGGATTACACATCAAATCTTCAAAGAATAACTAAACTTCAAAAATAAAATAAAATTCACAAAGCATCTTAACAATATTAAAGTTATTGACATTAATTCCTCTTATGGATGATATAAGAATAAAAAAACCTTTTGAGGTTTTTAAAATAACAAAATCTCTATGATGTTGACAAACTATTAGTAAGGCATTTAAACTGACAGTGTTATGAGTTAATAAATACAGTATCATCAATTACCCTCCTATAATTAACCTTTTTTTTTTTTTTTTTTTTTTTTATGATCAAGGGTGTTTAGACCAGCTTCCGCGTACTTCAACTAATCTTTCCAAACCCTAAAACTATCGGTCGAATAAGAGTTCTAGTAGCTATTCATATTAGCAAATGAGAAGGGATTCAAAATCAACTCATAATTTCTTGAGTAATAAACCTAAGAATCTTTATTGAACTGTTCGATCACCCAGAGATAGTTTCCTATAATTACTTTAATTCATATAGCTTAACGACAAAAAGATTTCTTTCATTTTTGAAATCTCAAGATAATTTTTATGACTATATATATATATATATATATATATATATATCTAATATATATATAGATATAGAATAGTATATATTAACTAATATATATATAGCCTACCTGTCTTTCCCCGCAAGAGCGATTCCTTTCTTTCCACTTGCTTGATGTGGACTAACGTAGAACGTCTGGCAGATGAATTCCTAGAGTGGGTTGAACGTCAGAAGTCCGTGCGTAAAGCCCAAAGGGCTGAAATGATCATGTACCATTCAGACGGCCATAACTTTTTATCTGGGAAGAGTTACAGGGCCTATAAGATACTGTTGAAAATCTCATTCAAAGTCCGTCGACATGGACTGATGTAGAATGTCTAACAGATGAATTCATGGAGCGGGCTAAACGTCAGAACTACGTGCGTAAAGCCCAAAGGGCTTAAATGCGCATGCCCCATTTAAACGGCCATCACCTTTTATCCGGGAAGAGTTACGAGGCCGATAAGATTCCGTTGGAAAGCTCATTTAGAGCCCGTCAAATGTCCGTTGACATGGAATAACATAGAATGTCTGGCAAATGAATTCATGGAGCAGGCTGAACTTCAGAAGTCCGTGTGTAAAGCCCAAAGGGCTTAAATGAGCATGTCCCATTCAGATGGCCATAACTTTTTATCCGAGAAGAGTTACAGGGCCTGTAAGATACCATTTGAAATCTCATCCAGAGCCCATTGACGTGAACTAATATAGAATGTCTGACAGAAGAATTCATGGAGCAGGCTGAACGTCAGAACTCCATGCGTAAAGCCCAAAGGGCATAAATGAGCATGCCTCATTCAGACGGCCATAACTTTTTATTCGGGAAGAGTTACAGGGCCTATAAGATAGCATTGGAAATCTCATTTAGCCCCTGTCAACGTGGACTAATGTAGAATTTCTGAGGGATGAATTTGTGGAGCGGGCTGAATATCAGAACTCCATGCGCAAAGCCCAAATGGCTTAAATGAGCATGCCCCATTCAGACAGCCATAACTTTTGATTCGGGAAGAGTTACAAGGCCTGTAAGATATAGTTAGGAAGCCTCATTTAGAGCCCGTCAAAACTCTATCCACATGGACTAACATAGAATCTCTGGCAGATGAATTCATGGAGTAGGCTGAACGTCAGAAGTCTATGCGTAAAGCCCAAAGGGCTTAAATGAGCATGTCCCATTCAGGCAGCCATAACTTTTTATCCGGGAAGAGTTACAGGGCCTATAAGATACCATTGGAAATCTCATTCTTAACCCGTCGATGTGGAGTTATGTAAGATGTCTGACGGATGAATTCATGGAGTAGGCTGAATGTCAGAACTCCGTGCGTAAAGCCTAAAGGGCTTAAATGAGCATGCCCCATTCAGATGGCCATAACTTTTGATTTGGGAAGAGTTGCGAGGCCTGTAAGATGCCGTTGGAAAGCTCATTCAGAGCCTGTCAGAAGTCTATCAATGTGGACTAAGATAGAACATCTAGTAGATGAATTCATGGAGCATGCTGAACGTCAGAAGTCTGTGCATAAAGCCCAAGGGGCTTAAATAAGCATGTCCCATCCAGACGGCCATAACTTTTTATCCAGGAAGAGTTACGAGGCCAGGAAGAGTTACGGGGCCTGTAAGATACTGTTGGAAATCTCATTCAGAGCCTGTCAACGTGGACTGAGGCAAAATGTCTATCGGGTGAATTCATGAAGTGGGCTGAAAGTCAGAACTCTGTGCGTAAAGCCTAAAGGGCTTAAATAAGGATGTCCTATTCAGACGACCATAAATTTTGATTCAAGAAGATTTACGGGGCCTGTAAGATACCTTTGGAAATCTTATTTAGAGCTCGTTGAGGTGGACTAATGTAGAGTGTTTGACGGTTGAACTTGTGGAGTGGGCCGAACATCAGAACTCCATGTGCAAAGCCCGTAGGGCTTAAATGAGCATACCCCATTCAGACGACCATAACTTTTGATCCGGGAAGAGTTATGGGGCCTGTAAGATACCGTTGGAAAGCTCATTCAGAGTCGTTAGAAATGTGTTAATGTGGAACATCGACAGATGAATTCATAGAGCGAGTTGAATGTTAGAAGTTTGTGCATAAAGCCCAAAGGGCTTAAATAAGTATGTCCCATTCAAACGACCATAACTTTTGATCCGGGAAGAGTTACGGGGCCTGTAAGATACCGTTGGAAATCTCATTCAGAGCTCGTCAACATGGACTAATGTAGAATGTCTGATAGATGAATTCATGGAATAGGCTGAACATCAGAATTCCATGCATAAAGCCCAAAGGTCTTAAATGCGCATGCCCCATTCGGACGACCATAA